TGGCTTCCTATCCTATTTTAAATAAAATTCAGTCCAAATATCCTGACATGATCTTCTTTTATCTCTAAATACCTATAGCCATTCTCCCCTCACCCTCAATTTTATACTCTCCCACCACTCTGGCCTTCTTTAAGATCTTAGCTCTTCTTGACCTCGGGAACCTTCCCCAAGTAATTATGTGTGCCTGAAATGTCCTGGTCTCTGCTTTATATGACTAATTTATTCATTTTCCAAATTTTTTAACCATTTTAATCCATGGAGAGGCCATGGATGAGCCGTTCCAGTTTAAACAGCTATCATGGTTCACATTTACCTCTATTATCTTCCATAATATCTAGCACAATTTCTAGTTCTACATAGTCTGTGTATGATTATGTGCAAAGTGTCCTCTGTCTCCCCTGAGCTATGTGCTCCATCTGGGCAATAAGGTCTTTTTGTCTATACTGTGCTCTCAACAAAATGTACCATGTCTGAAACAGAGTGCATACCCCATAAATATTTATTGAATTCATGATTTTGAAAGAGTCAGCAGAAAGATCTGAAAATAAGAAGTAAAGAAACTAACCAATGAAACAAAGTATCCAAAGAGGTCAAATGGCATTAAGTTGAGAACATTAGGTGGAAGACAAAGTATATTAGAAAAATAAAATGTTAAGTGCTAAATCAATGATAGCCATAGAAAGTAAAAGGCTAACTTAGAATGATATTCTTGGGAGACAGAGTACTTATTTGGGGTGACCAAGCATGATTATATAGAAGTACTTGGGCTGGAGGGACCATTAGCTTTTTCTTAACATTTGTTTCAGTTTATAAAAATAGAATGAATCAGATGATTTGTGTTTTAAGTTGGATTCTCCAATGAGGAAAAGTTGAGAAGGAGTTAGAAGTGCAAAAAGGTTTACTGGAGAGTAGGACCTGTGAATGGGAAAGACAGGAAGCAGGATCAACTAGAGGAGCCACTAGACTGCCCGTGCAAGTCTGACCAAGCTTCGGTCATCCCACAAGTGAGCAAGTCCTTTCACTGCGCCTTGCTCAGTCTTTTGCTGGGGTTACGGATGGGGGAGAGGAAATGAATATAATGCAAATGAGCTTGAAAGCTGAGGTGAACTTAGACTTAACAGTTGTTGGTTAGCTACACACCTTGCAGTTGGACCGTGAGTCCTTTCTTGAAGGGAGATCTGAGCAGTGCACCACTGTGACTGCCGCATACTGTAGGAAGTAAATCAATCCATAAATAAAACGAAGCATATATTTTTTTCAATACTGTGGTGCTGGGATTGAGTTTAGGGCCTGAACACTGAGAAACATCCCCAGCCTCCTTTGTTATTTTTTATTTTAAGAAAGGTGTCTTAGTTAGTTTCTCATTGCTGAGAAAAAATTCTCGACACCCAAAGTTAAAGCAGGAAAGGTTTATTTTGGCTCACAGATTGTAGAGGTTTCAGTTCATAGTTGGCCGGCTCCACGGCAGGATGGCATGGCACAAGGGCATTGCAGAGGTTACACAATCCATGGCAAAGCAAGGCAGGCAGAAGGCAGCAAGCATGTGACAAGCGAGCCTACTAGTCCTCTTTCTGTCCCTTGTACTTTATACATGCTACATGCCCTTAGGCAAATCACACTCACACCCTTAATTTTAGCATTGCCACGAGTCAGTATATCTTAAATAAGGTGCCTTTAAATAGAAAAACAAAAACATAATTATTTATTGGCCAATTGACAAAAATGTGACAAGAAGCTCATAGGAATCAAACTTGGTGTTTCCCTTAGGAGCAATGGTTCTGTACTTGCTAATTCAGCCTTTGTGGCCTTTTTTGTTTGTTTTGTTTGTTTTCTGAGTCAGGGTTTCACTATACAGTTCAGGCTGTCCTTGAACTCACTTTATAGCACAGGCTACAAACTGGCTACAAACTTGAACTGGCAGCAATCTTCCTGACTCAGCCTCCTGAGTGCTGAGATTACAGGCATGCGCCACTATGCCCAGTCTTGTGGCTATTTTATAGAACATAATGATCATGAGTAAGGAGAATTGAATGTATATATTAGGGGTTATTCATGAAGCAGGGGATTCAGAGCAATAGTTTACTAAGAAACAGGTAATCAAGACCCAGGCATGGTGATGCACACCCTGTAATTCCAGCATTCACAAGGCTGAAGCAGGAGGATCACCACAAGTTCAAGGCCAGTCTGGGCTACAGAGTGAGTTCAAGGGCAGCCTGAACTATATAGGAAGAAAATGTCTCAAAAAAAAATTAGATAATTGCAAAGTAAATTAATGCACGCTATAGTAGACACAAGAACAGACTGATGTGAGAAAAACTCAGAGGATTTCTTGTTTTAGAGCCATAAGATCGGAGATGGATTTCTAAAGGTAAGTTAATCTGCACTAAATACTAGATTCTGATGGATAAACTGAATCCATCAAATGAAAAGGAAGAAAACATATTTTGCAGTATTTAAGTTTACTGAGAGAACACATTACTTTTATGGAACTTAAAATTGCTCAGGATGGCTGAAGCAAAGACTAAAAACTATTGAAAGCTGTTTCTAGGCAAATAGCAAGCTGTTTGATTTATGAAAGGCATAAATTAAATACTTTGATTATCCTGAAGACAATGTTGAAGCTGATGAAGATTTTTAAGAAGTGACATGATTAAAGGCAATGCTTATAATGACAACTGAAGGTGAACTGATATGGGTGCAGCCTAAAAACCACGGAGATTAAAAAGTTGTTGCTATTGTTTAGAGTAAGAGAGTGGAAGCTCTCTCTAGGACATGACATGAACAAATCAGCTTACTTGAAGACTACTGTAATTGACAGAAGCTTTGCAAGGCTGCAGTAGAGGGTCAGCGTTACGGAATAGCTGGCGACGAGTTTTAAAATATTAGTGGAGTTGGCCTGTGGAACGCCTATGTAACAAAATATGATTTAGCTGGGGACGTAGCTCAGCGACATAAGCGCTTGCCTGGCAAGCCTAAGGTCATGAGTTTGATTTCCGGTACCAAAATATGATTTTAACATTCTCTCAGCAATGTTAAATTTATACATCAATTTATTGTACAGTATGTACGCTGAAACTTACCACTTCATTCATTTCAAGTGTACAATTCAATGGCATTAAATATATTCGAATTTTTTCACGACCATCAACACCATCCCTCTCCAGAACAATTTTTCTCACTTCAAACTGAAACGCTATACTCATTGAAAAATAACTCATTTTCCTTTTTCCCACCTCCTTCCACAACCCTCACTCCTAGCAATCACTAGTCTTTCTTTCTTTCTTTCTTTCTTT